CTTAAGTAGAATTTCACCAATCATTTGAAAGGGGCAAACTTTTCAGAATAAAGCTAAATATTTTAAAAGTGTGTAGTTTTGAAAAATTGTTAATAGAAGCATGAATGTCCTTGAACAGCTGAGCATTTTGATACCTGAAATAGCTGAAAGTATGCTGAGTGTAAAATTACCCATTCATTTGATTGGAACATTTTCAGAATAAAGCTAAATATTTTAAAAATGTGATGCTTTGAAAAATTTTGAATAAAGGCATGAATGTCCTTGAGGAGCTCAACATTTTGATACCTGAAATATCTGAAGGTAAGGTGAAGCAGAATTTTCCCATTCATTTGAATGGGGCAAAATTTAAAATTTAGAATTTATTTAAGATAAATATTTCAAAGGTATGAGATTTACAAAAATTCTGAAGAGAAGCATGAATGTACTTGGAGAGCTTAAAATTTTGATACCCGAAATAGCTGAAAGTATGTTGAATGTAGAATTTCCCCATTCATCTGAATGGGGTAAAATTTTCAAAATAAAGATAAATATTTCTAAAATATGAAGTTTAGAAAACTTCTGAATAGCAGCATGAATGTGCTTGAGGAGCTGAACATTTTGATAGCTGAAAGTATGCGGAAGTAGAATTTTCCCATTCATTTGAATGAGGCAAGATTTTCAAAATAAAGCTAAATATTACAAAGGCATGAAGATTAAAAAAATTCTGAATAGAAGCATGAATGTCCTTGAACAGATGAGCATTTTGATACCTGAAATAGCTGAAAGCCTGCTGAAATAAAATTTTCCTTTTCATTTGAATGGGGCAAGATTTTCAGAATAAAGCTAAATATTTCAAAAGTGTGAAGTTTAGAAAACCTCTGAATAGAAGCATGAATGTCCTTGAAGAGCTGAACATTTTGATACCTGAAATAGCTAAAAGTATGCTGAAGTTGAATTTTCCCATTCATTTGAAAGGGGTAAAACTTTCAAAATAAAGCTCAATATTTCAAAAGGTCCAAAGTTTAGAAGTGTCAATGTCCTTAAAATGAACATTTTCAGACTTGAAAGTATGTTGAAGTAGAATTTCCCCATTCACTTGAATGGGGCAAGATTTTCAGAATAAAGCTAGATATTACAAAAGCATGAAGTTTAGAAAAATTCTGCATAGAAGCATGAATGTCCTTGAGGAGCTGAACAGTCTGATGATACCTGAAAGTATGCTGAAGTTGAATTTCCCCATTCATTTGAATGGGGCAAATTTTTCAGAATAAATGCTAAATATTTTAAAAAGTATGAAAGTTGTATAAAAAGTTGAATACATGACATAATGTCCTGGAAAACCTGAACATTGTGATACAGAATGGTTTTTCTAGCTGAAAGTATACTGAGCTTATTAAGATGTGAACATTTTCTGATTGGTCCCCACAAAGTAGGTAAAACAATTAGGGTTGTGAGTGTGTGTGGCTGTGTGCGTGTGTGGGGTGTGTGTGTGTGTGTGTGTGTGTGTGTGTCTGTGTGTGTATGAGAAAAAAAGAGTATTCCTACACACTGAGAACTTCTAGAATGTGGCTATTGAACCTATTGAAATGACATAAAATGTAAGTGGTAATTGTGCAAAAATCATAAAAACATATCAAAAAGTTGTTTACAGTATGAATAACTGAAGAGTTGCTGAATAGTTATTAGATGAAATTGTGGTTTTAGCTGAAGCTATGCTGAAGATATTAAGATGTGAAAATTCGTCCCATTCATTTTCAATGGGAAAATTTTTGTGAAAAAAAAGCTAAATTTATTAAAAAGTATGAAAGTTATAAAAAAGTTGAGTACATGCCATAATGTCCTTAAAAAGATGAACAATTTGATACCAGAATGGGTTTTCTAACTGAAGTATGTGGGAGAAGATGAGAAGCGAAAAACGTACGGAATAAACTATAATAATAAAAACGGAAAACAAGAGTGTGGCTGCATAGCATCCGCACAATAATTGGAAAACATAGTGTGGATGCTGCAGAGCACACAAAAATCAAAGGACGATTTACATATTCCAGCCTATAAAAGTCATAAAACCCAAACAGGGAAAACACACAGCATAATTACATCAGAGGATGCACTTATTCGTGGCGAAGCATTTTTGAGGGTTTCATGACTTCATTAGCTAGTCAGTCACCGCAAATTATGCATAGCAGGTGTGGAGCTTGTGCATCACCTGTTGCGATGAACCTGTAACTTAGTTAGGAATCGTGGTATTTTCTTTTAAATGCAGCTTTCTTTTTGCTGGAAGTCTGTGACCCTTCTGCTCTCCCATCGCCATCGTTTCCTCATTCCTTCCTGAAAAAGCTCTCCAGTGAATTTTGTTTCTGGCTCATTTTTTTTTTAAAGGGTTAGCTTGTGTTGCTGACGCGTAAAATGGTGTGCCAGAGTCAAGTGCGGTAGTGAGGCAAGGGTGGAAACAGTCGTTTTTCAAACCAAGACTGATGAAAGAAAAATAACTAATTTTAACCACAAAGTTTTTTCTTTGCGGCCCGGTACCAAATGATCCCGGTACCGGTCCGGGGACCGGGGGTTGCGGACCCCTGACTTAGAAGACCAACAAATAAATTTGATAACACAATGGAATTCTCTGTTTACCACTAATTTCATACAAAGCACTAACGTTAAACAGAGCTCGAATTATTCTGAAATTAGAATCATATTAATTCAACACAAAGGTAAAATCATGACCATGCTGGGTTGCAAATATTAAAGACTATCTGTACAATTACAGAAACTGTCTTTCTCACAGATGCATTAGAGACAGTTTAACAGAAAAGGTTGTGCACATTTTGTTTATGGTAACAATAACAATACAATAGCCTAGAATTTACTATATTGGAGGCACATTAGGCTAGTCATATTTCTGAAAGCAAAAGCTTATGTATACAGTGACATGTCACATGTGAATTTTTTAAGTCAATAAATTATGCATTACAGAGAGAGAGGTAATACTATTACAAATCACATGGGATGTTTCATACTTTGAAGAAACGCTCTCAGTCATCTAACAATAAACAAACATAAAGCTTCAGTCTATTTCTACAAATTCCTGTGGTAACTTCTTTTCACCACTAGGTGGTTTTGTGGTCACTTGACGCTTTGACACATGAACCATTTTTTATTTCAAATGGCTGGAAAGCTTCGATGCTCCAACGAGGCTTCATCTTTCCATCACTAAACACATTAGCTTTAGGTAGTAATGCATCCAGAAAGGATGCCACATCTGAATTAGAATCCTTTGTCTGCTTTTAACACGCTCCATCTCGCAAAGCCAAACTGATGTTAAACCTGTTTTTTTCTCTTTGTCCCACTCCCTCTGTGTGAAAAAACACAACCTCTTCAGTCTGGCAGCCAGTGCTTCAGACTTTTATTGATGAGAGCTCCTCCATGGCTGGTTGTTTGAAATGACTACTTGTGTCCTATTCTTCACTATCTTCACTAGGCAGCAAGTAGAGCTGATTTATGGACCTGTTGCTTTGACAACACACTGTAAAGCAGCTTAAATCATAACAAAGGGGCTATAAATAGCAGTGTCATAGAGGGGGGAAGTATAGTGGAGAGACACCTTTTCTTGTGCAATTTTCACTTGATTTATCACACTGTGTGTAAAATCTTAGTTAATGCACCTTTAGGACATAATCATGAACTCTTGTGCCTGCCACATCCTCCTGTGAAAAGAAAACAGTCCACAAACTTTTCATTGTGTTGCACAACAGATGTAGAGACCTTTTTGTGTCTGTGTCAAGTACATGGACTATGGCATCAGTAAAATAGTGAAAAGTCCAGTAGGGAGAAAATATTCACCAGACTGAGTGAAAGCAATATTTAGTGTGTTTAAACTCAGAGTTGTGAGATGGTGCAAACGTTGTACTAGATTTTGCTGTAAAGACCACAACTATTTAAAGTACAGAAAAACAATTTGTGTAAAACAACATATTTTCACTTTGCCATCTAAGTTCACATTCCAGGTTTGACAGTTACTATATCATTTAGGCTCCAAAGGAAGGGGCAGTCAGTTTGTCTCTACTCTTGATACTGTGGCAAAAAATAAATAAATAGAAATAAAAATCTTTGCAGAGACATATGCAGCAGACATAACAAGAGGATCAAGCAGACAGTCATCTGGATATCAAGCTCCTTTCTTTAATGTCCAAGCTACACTGGACAATAATATTTCAGTTTCTTTAGATTATTTATGTTGACTTAAGTTAAACAGCTTCAACATTATGCTCATTTTTAATTTATATAACTTTTTGTATTACATAATTAGATTCAAGATTTTTATTTGCCATTTATGCATAAACCTACATTTTAAGACTGAGAGCTCTTTCTGGCTTTTGACTCCTTACCTGACTCCAAAGTAGAGCTGCACAAGAATTCCTAATCTGTCTGTTTATGCATAAATGGCAAATAAAAATCTTGAATTAAAATGAATAAATTAGAATATTATTATTGACACAGTACACACATTTTTGTAACTACTGTGCCAAGTTTCCCAACATTATGGGATGGTGTTTATTTTTAAAAAATAACATATTGATGTATGTAGTGTATATCTCTATGATGGATTATGAGTGTGATCTCCCAAAATGTCGCATTTACCCAAAATTCAACAGCAGCATAGCATATCTGTCACACGCAAAATGCACTGTCAGTCTGATGAAGAAACAGATGTGGCAATAGAGTCAGCCAAACAAATGCTCTAAAATCAGCATATGAAGACCACACCTCAAAGCCACCTGACAGTTGCTTCCGTTGCACACTTCCAAATAATTCTGTTTCTCTATAAAGTTTGGTCAGAGCTAAAATGTTAGACACATCATTGTATTGGTTTTTTTAACTTAAGCTTCTACTTAATCATCTTTAATGCTGTGTATTCAACTAGAAGTACTTTCATATAATTTCAAGGAGCATTCGAATGAGAGAAATCTTGTCAGCCACACCAGGGACAAAGAGTTAACACATATTTAACAAAGTCTTTCATTTACCTGATTCCTCCCTCTCCGTCTTCCAAGGTTTCTCCTCACCAGTGTCTTATAGTTGTGGTTCTTCTTGGTTAAGTAGTAGTATAGCACACAGTCAGCAACACACTGAAACAAGAAATTGCAACATATTTTACATTATTATTGTATTACACCTGTGCAGTATGAAATCACAGTATTTTAATAACCATCTCCCAGAGCTAGAAACCACACACACCGAAAGGATTTACTGTTATCAAAAAGTCACATTTAGAGCAAATACGCATACAGCCAATGGGTGATTTTGTGGACCCACACAGTGCAGATTTTAATACTTCTGCTCATTATTAAAAATATCTTGTACATAAGTAGATCAGCAGCAGTTCTAAAAGGGATTATGATATATGCTTAAATAATTAAAGTTAAATATTTCATTGCAATCTGTTTGACCCAACTACATCACTGATAAAAATTTTAAGCTTATATTTTACTATGAAAAAATGATCTTTGGTTTTTGTGAGCTTTAAGCTTTTGAACCCAAAGTCATGTGTTTCTGACCTTGGGCGGTGGATGAAAGACCCACTCTTTCAGATGATATCAAATACATTAAATCCTGATATATACTGTATTCCAGAAATGGGCATGTATGAAAATACAACCAGCAGTTCACCTTTCTCTCTAGGTAAGATGCAATCAGACCAAAGTTCTTTGGGTGTTGGATAAACCTGCAAAGAGACATCAGCCGTTATTCATGTGTCAAATCCAAACTATCAGCTCAAGTGAAAGACATGCTGTGCTGAAAAACAAGACACAAACAACTCACTTCTCCTTAAAGATCTCCTTTTCGTGTTCGGTCCAAACATTCATGAACTGCCGGGCTTTGTACACCTTCATTGGGTCATCCATCAGCCCATTCATGTTGATAAATTTCACTCGCCTCTGCTCAGAGTCGTACATCATGGGGGGAATGACTGACAGCTGTCTCATCTGTTTCTCATTGTTCTGTGGAACATGGACCAGGAAATTAGCTAGTTACTCCTTCAGAGAAAACACACACACACACACACACACACACACACTATATATATATA